CCAGCTTCCCTGCCAGGAGCGGCGCGGCTACTGGCTGATGAGTAGTCGCCGATTCTCCCCTCCAGGAGCTGCGCGCCGCCTCGAGGCGGAGGATCGAGATGGAGGAGGAGATCCGGCAGCTGCGCGCCGAGCCCGCCGACTGACGCGCGACGCCGCGCGGCAGCAACGGAGAGAGGCGCTCATAACACAGTCAATCCACCGCAACCTGAACCTCGACACGTACTGTCTACTGACGTCTGCTCGACGGAGTGTGCGCTTTCTGGCTTGCTTGAGGATAAAAATTAGGCATCTTCCCGAGCCCCTATAGGGTTGTTGCGCGAGTATGTAAAGGGGAAGGACCCTCAGTTGACCAGGGGTTGTGCGCCAGGCGCAGGCCCTCCTGCGTCCTGCTCGGCTCCAGCCAGTACTTTAGACTAGTCTTGTCATCACGAACAGAGCGAGAGGAGACGGATCTGACCTCAGGGCCGATGTGACCAAGCGCTGGTAGCGTGGTTTAACCTCACACCCATGGTCTCACAGTGTGCCGGCAGTCGCCGAGCAGTGTCGCTCACACAAGCCGCAGCACAAGTGACTGAGGGCCAGTGAGGGTGATCCCATCGCTGTGACAGCTGTGGCAGCCGCACAGTAGGCTGTGCCAACTGTGCAGAGCGTGTGAGCAGCAGGGGAGCTTCACTCCAGGCTTCAGGCGCAAAGAGCTGCATGCCACCGAAGGCGCTGTCGAGGTTCGCCGAGCGCGGCGAAATCGGGGGAAGCCGTCACCGACGAGCGCGTTGGACTTTTCACTCCGGACAAAGACGGCGACACGCACACGAGCTGCGGCCGTGTCGCCGTCATAGCGGCGAGGCGCGGGACCGTCTGTGGCGAAGTGGGTCGCGTCCCCCGATTTCCTCAACTCAACCCAGGGAGTGCACAGATCCAACAGGAGTGAGCAGGCTCGACGCCGTACTCGAGATGGAGCTGCCACAAACTCGCCGCCGAGCGTGCCACCGAAGGCGTCCTGGCGGAGGTGGTGGAGTGTGAGACCTGAGGCTGCGGAGGTGACGCCTGAGGTACCGGCCCGTGCACAGCGACTCAGCTGGCGACCACCACGGGCTCAGACGAGACTTGTCGACTCGTTCCGGCTCAGCTTCACCGTGGTCATCGGGCGTCTGTCGACGTCAGGACCACCCATACAGCTCGCGGGTTTGAGGTCGCAAGAGCCAAGTTGGTGGCGTTTGGACATCCCAACCATCACACAAGACAGCCTGTAGGTGATGGCGGGACGGCGCAGTGTTTGTGGCACTGTAGGCACCCGCGGCACGGCCCCGCTGTCGGCTCTCGCGGGCTGCGGAACCGGCCCCAGAAGGGGACGGTCCGGGCGAGTGTGGCAGCTCCTGCGCTAGTATGGGCACCCCCTCTATCACAGCAACACTACTGATCCTGGTCATTAGAGCTGCCAGGGATAGCGTCAGGAGCCGGTAGGAGTCAAAACCCCTCATATTTGAGACATCGTGGCCCATATACTCGTGCAACAACCCTATATGAATATGTGTGCAAGCCGTCCCGGCGCGCCGCCCGCCCCCCCGACCGCACAGGGCACAGCCACCCAGCTCCCAGGCTCAAGCGTGCTCGCGACGTGGTTACGTACCACATATAAAAAGAGAGCGCCGTCCGCATACGTACGGCCACACTCGCACTAAGAGCACAAAACCTAGCGGCCTGATTCGCTTTGTAACCTGAACGACTCGAGCTTTTGCGCGCAGACGAGCGCGGCTATGCGACTGCCTTTTCCTCCTCGGAGCGCGCGGACGCGTCGGCGGCCGCCACCAGCGCCGGGTCGAGCCTCGTCGCCTCGCCGCTGGCAAAGCGCGAAAAGGTAAAGCTCGTCGCGTGGGCCGTCGGCACCTAGCGTCTCCGTTGTTCCCTCGTGCCCCGCCGTCGCCCTCTCTGCTCGGGCCGTTAGCGATTTCGCTCCTCCTGCGTGTCGCCCCTCCGTCCCCTCCCCTTTCTTCGTCGTCATCGTCGCTGTCGCGAAAGCCCTCCGGTCCCTCGATTCCCTCGCCTATCCCCTCCGCTGCGTCGTCCCAGTTTATATCCTCATCCTCTGCGCACGTCGCGTTGGCTTCCTCTCTCCCCCTTTCCTCCCTGCCCCTCTCGCTGTCTGGTGTTAATGGACCCCCTTCCTCTCCCTCGCCACCGTCACCGTCTCCATCCCCGTCGCTACCGCCCTCCATGCCCGCCGCCCTTTGTTTCACACTCGTCTCTGCCATGTCCGCCGTCGCCGCCGTCCTGTCTGCTGCGCTCTGTGCTCCGTGGTACAGTCGCTTATTGTTGCTCAGGATTAGCTCACGCACCAGGACAGCCTCCTGCTCGTTATTTTGGCTTGCCGATATGCATCCAAAGTTCCACGCTAGCTCCTCCTTCGTCACGTCTATCTTTTTGCAGTATCTCGCGAATGCCGTCCGCGCTTGCTGGGGTGTTATTGCGTTCGGATCCGCCCTGGTCCCCGCCTTGTATCCCATCTCCTTGCGGTGGCTCCTGTATGAGTCCCCATATGACCATGTGATTTCTTGGCCTTCCTTGACTCCCCTCTCTGCAAACAGGACCATCACCTGCGCAGCTGCCTTGCCTAATTGTATCTCCTCGTAGCGTACGAAGTGCGTCGCCCTCGTGCCTCGTTTCGGCTCATTCGATGCTGCAGGCCAGTCGAAGTTACACCGCGCCGCGACGCTGTCAAAGTCGTCCCCGCTCTCGTCGTCACTTCCATCCAGCTGCGTCCCCCCTGCTGCCGTGTGTCGTGATAGTTCGTCTGGTACCGTCTCTGGTGGCTGCGCCGTTCCTGTCCGGAAGATCTCCCCAGTGTAGATGCTACACACCTCAAATTTCTCTAGCCTCCTCGTCGCCAGTAGGCCGAGTTCCCCTTCCGCTATGCTAGAGGGGCCTACCTTCGCCCCTTCCACCGTGCCGCCCGTCGTTAGCATGGCCGTCGTTACTTTCGCCGCCGCCTCTGCTGCTTGTCGGCGGAGCGCCTCGCGCCTTCCCTCGTCTCCATGCTCCTGGTCTTGTTCTTTTTGTTTTCCTGCGCTTCCTGTCGCTGGTCCGGCGACGTATCTTGCCGTCTGCCTTCGCTTCCTGGCGGGCCGCGTTTCCTTCCCCTCGTCCCGTTTGTTTTCTCCTGCGTGGTCGCCCTCGCGTGCGCCGCTCGCCGTCTGTTCTCCTCTCTGCTCGCCGTCCTCGTCCCCTCGCTGTCGTCGCTTCCCTCCGGCGCTCGCCGCATCGTCGTTCCTATCACCGCGTTTCCTGCGCTTGCTTGCACTTTGAATGCCGTGGGGCTCCTGCCCGTGTCCGGGCGTGGAGATGCGAGGGTCGCCCCCCCTTGCCCCACCACTTTGTGTGTGTGGAGACGTTTACCTTACCTTACCTTACACAAGAACCGCATGGGCGGGGGCCCGCTCCTTTGTACCCACCTCTCTAGCGAAGTGTCCGGACATTAATTTTCACTTATGACTCACCAGGAGGCGCGCGCGTCGATCGGGAAGCGCTGCCGCACGGCTTCGCCTATCCCTCAGGTGGGACCTCGCTCAAATCTCGGACGTATCTCGTGTCTAGGACGTGTAGCGCTGTTGCGGCGGCCCTCGTAGCCGACGAACTCAGCGTGCAAGTTCACCGTCGGGTCGCAGTGGGACGGGACGAGCCGCAGCACCGACCCGACCGGCAAAGCGCCTGCGCGTGACGTGGACATGTCGTGGACGTGTCGCGTGCCGGCAGCACCGGACCCTCGGGCCGCCTGCCGCCACGCCATGCAAGATGCCGTGCTCGTCCCCTCCGGCGCGGTACTCGAGGTTTGGGTGGCCTGCTCACAGCGATGACACGTCCATGACATGTCCATCCACGACGATGACGCGAGGCGGGGGCGGCCGGGCCTGCTCACAGCCGGGCGCGTGGCGAGCTCCCGTCTCACCACTCCCTCACCCCAAGCCGGGCGGGTGGCCGACGACAGACGGGGCACCCGACAGCAAGTCGATCGCCTTGGTGCCGGCGTCGACAACGCGGCGGCCTAGAGGGAGCTCCATGCACGGTCCAGAGACGGCCCGGCCCGGAGGAGGTGCGTGGCGCCGACCCGGCGGCGGCCGGCGGCGTCATTAGCGGAGATCACCGCCGTCTGCACGAAGAGGCTCTGCGCGAAGGCGGCGCCGCGGGCGGCGGGCGGGAAGGGCTCGTTCTGGCCATAGTCACCGTCCATGAAGAGATACGAGCCTGCGGGGGGACGTGTCTCGGACGTGTCTCGGACTTGTCTCGGACTTGTCTAGACGAGCTGCGCGGACCTCGGTGGATCTCTGCATATGTATCAGCCGATCTCCAGCTGAGCTGTGCAGATCTCGGCGGCATCTCGGCTAGTCTAGCGCCAGGCTGCAGCTCGGTGTGGACGCCTCCCTCGAGCTCGTACGGGAAGGTGCCGGTGCCTCCTCCGGTGACGCAAGGCACGTCGATCGAGTGGCGCCTCCGGGAGGGAGGCGGAACGGTCAACTTCAACGCAGCAGTGGTTTGAGTTCTACCACGAGGACCTCCTCAGTGTTGCCTTCGGTGCGGTCGGAGGCCGAGGGGCTAGGAAGGAAGCGCACTGATACAGCCTCCGCGCCTCAGGAGGGCGGCGGCGGCGGCGGCGCGCGCCACCGGCCCCTCGAGGACTCGCCGCCGCCTCTCCTCCGCCGAGCGCACATGCTGGATCCCTCCGTGGTAGCAGTGCAGCCCTCCGAACCGAAGCCGGCCAGACGCGCTGATTGCCGACGCGAGAGCGAGGGCCGCCTCGGGCGCAGATACGCCGCAGCGGTTCTGGCCGGCGTCCACCTCGACGTAGGCGTCGATCTCCACCCCTCTCGTCTCCGCCGCCGCGGAGAGCGCCTCGATCTGGCAGCGGGAGTCTACAAGGACACCCAACCTGAGCGAGGGCGTCGCCGCCAGTAGAGCGAGCCGGTGCAGCTTGTCCTTGCCAACCAGTTGGTTGGTGAGGAGCACGTCAGTGCAGCCACCTCGCACCATGCACTCCGCCTCGACCACAGTCTGCGCGCACACATGCTTGAGCCCGAGGTAGCGGGCGAGGGCGCTGCTCTTCAGAGCCTTTCCGTGGGTGCGAATAGCCGCTCTGCCCCCCACCGCCGCCACCATCGCCGCGGCATTGCGCTGCGTTCGGGCCAGGTCGAGCACGAGCGCCGGCGTCACCACGTCGGTGATTAGCATGCTCCTAGGCACGCTCTCCGAGGTCTCTCGGAGCAGAGCACCGTCGTCGTCCTCGAAAGATGCAATGGGTCCTCGGCAGGTCCTCGGAGAGGGTACCCTGGGTGGGCGGGGCCTCTACTCGCCCGGGTCCAGCCCCGCGAGTTGAGGAAGCTGCCAGGAAGGAGCTGCCAGGAAGGTCGCGTTGCCTCCGGGGAGGGCCGGCCGCCTCTGATCGCTTCTCGGCAACGTAGATCTACGCCGAGTTTTCCTCCGGCGTATGCTCTTCCAGCGGCTCCTGCCTCCTGGAGCGAGGAGCGACAGTGGCGACGGCAAGATCGAGATTGATGGCGCGACTTCATCCAACGAGCCACCTCAGCGATTCGCCGGGCTCGGAGGCGCGCTCGTGGCGGCCTGCCTCGCAGCCGTGCAGAGCATCGCCTGCGCCAAAGTCATGGCCGGTCCGCTGCCTGGTGAGGCGGTAGCCGTCGCGATGGCGCTGTGCCTCCTCTCCTCGTGCGCTCTTCAGCTCCTCCTGTGCTGGCTCAGCCGTCTTGCGCTGGTCGCGTGCGCCGACTCGTTCGCCGCCGCGCTCTTTTCTCCCCTCGCGGCGCGGCTGCTCGCCGCCGACTGCCCGAGCCCTCTCGGTCACCTGGCTCTCTCTTCTCTCTCTCTCTCTCTCTCTCTCTCTCTCTCTCTCTCTCTCTCTCTCTCTCTCTCTCTCTCTCTCTCTCTCTTCTCTCTCTCTCTCTCTTCTCTCTCTCTCTCTCCACCTTCCAGATCACCCGAGATCACCCCGAGAACCCGGTATCAGGCCACCTCTTCGTCTCTCTCGCCACCTTCCAGCTCGTCACCGCCGCCGTCTACCTCGCCAGCGCGACACTGCGCGGTGGGCGGATCGTGCGACATCTGCCCGAGCCGGTCTCCCTCGGGTACTTGGCCTCTGTCGGGCTCATCCTCGTCGACTCGAGCTCGAAGGCCGAGATGGCACCGAGATTGGGCCGAGATATGGGGGGTCGAGATATGGGACGAGATTGGGACGAGATTGGGACGAGATTGGGACGAGATTGGGGCGAGATTGGGGCGAGATTGGGCCGATAAGATGTATGGGTCGAGGCGCCCATGAGCTGGCCAGCTCGTGTCCATGGGCTCGTGTCCATGGGCACGGGTGGCTGACGCACCCCATACCACATCTAACCACGAGATCTCCCGAGATGAGGTCGTCGGCTGCTCGCTGCTCGACCCGCTGTCGGTCTGGCGGGCGCCCGCCGCCGCACGGGCTCAGCTTGCCCTCGGCGCTTGCGCCAGTCGCCTGGCTCCACATCAGCCGAGGTCAGCCGAGGCCAGCCGAGACCGCCCCAGACTAGGCACCGCGCTCGGCGTCTTGCTCACTGTCGCCGGGCGCAGGCTCATCGGCTCAGCGCGTGTGGCCCTCGTGCCCGCGACCGCCGCTCTCGCTGCTGCCGTGCTCCTCCTCCTCCCCCTCGCCTCGGTCGACGTGGACGGGTGGGCCCTCGACGTGCCTGCCGTCCGGCTCTCCTCGCTGCCGGCCGCCCTCTCTCTCGGCGATGTCCGCCTGGCGTCGGCTGCGCGGGACGGGGCGGTGACAGCTGCGGTGGCGGCCCTCCCCATGGTGCCGCGCCTTAGATGGCGAGCCCGCGCCGTCCCGCTCCACACGATGCGGTCGTCTACGATGCGGTCGGCGGTCTCATGGTTTGCGGTGTCACTCCCCGACGCATCGCGGTCGTAGCTCGTGTGCTGCCGCGGACGCGAGAGTGCAAAGGGACCGTACACGATTCACAGCCTCGCCTTGTGCACACACAGGCTGCCGCGAGATGACCCGAGATGACCCGAGATGACCCGAGATGACCCGAGATTAGGTTGCCGGGCGGATGATGGCGTACTCCGCGATGCGGCGCCGAGCGCACCTGATTCTCTGCCGCTGAGCCTCTCGGACGCAACTCTCGCACGCATCTCGGCTCTCTCTCCCTCTCTCTCAGGCGGCGCCTCTCCTGGCGCTTCGACATCGACACGGAGCTGCGGGCGCGTGGAGGGGCGGCGCCGCTCCTCGCTCGAGAGGGCCCGAGAGAGCGACGACGCCACCCGAGGGGGTAGGCGATGGGGGTGGCGCAGCTCCTCGCGTCGCCCTTTGGCGCGACGGCGACGCCAAACTACCCCGTGACGGCGACCGCGCACTCCCTCGGCGCCACGCGCAGCCTGCACCTCCCCGCCGCGTGCGCGCTCCTGCCGCTCCTGCTCCTCGCCTCGGGTCTGCGGCCCGTCACCGCCCTCCCCGCCGTCGCCCTCGCCGCCATCGTCGCGCACAACGGCCTCGACCTCCTCGCCGACACTCTCTCCGACGCTTGGGCGCGAGACGAGCCGAGAGTGTCCGAGATGCGCCGAGGTTCTCCGAGGCCCAACCCCCACTGCTGGGTCCCCCGGGGCCGTCCCCCCGCCCTCTCTTTTTTTTTTTTTGTCTCCTCCTTTCTTTCTCTTTTCTTGTTTGGTTCCTTTTGGGCTCTTCTGTCTTTGCGTTTTCTCGCGTTTTTTCGTTGCGTCCGTCTTCCCTTGGCCTGTTTCTCTGGGCGTTTTGGGTTGTCCCCTCGTCC